CTAAATAGATTATATAGTAAAATTGCATTATTTCTTTGAAAATCTTCTCTACTCCTGGATATTAAGGGGGCCGACTATAGTTTCAATTGTGCAATATTTCGCGCATCATAGTAAAATGAAGCGTATTTATTGTTTTAATGCAACTTTTTCCGCTTAATTATTAAAATTAAACAAAAATAAAAAATTATAGGTATAAAAATGTAATTTCAATTTGATATAACTGATTATTTAACCGATTTTGCAATCGATAGGTAGGTTGACGTCGCTGCAGTGTCTTTTTGACGTTATGATAATATGAAGCTCTTAAAGAAAGGGGTAATAAAAATATTATTACAGAAAAGGTAATAAACATACGCTCTTGAAATTTAAAACAGAGAAATTTTAGAATATCTTCAATATTTTTATTATGTTTTCTTGTGAATCCATTGTTTACGTCATATTTTGTAGTACTGTATATTAATAGTAAAATTTGCTAATCTTTTGCATTTTGAGATACCCCCTCTCTTAACAAGACGGTAGAATTTTGTGTTTCTTACATATATTGTGTCATATAGTATTACTCATAAAATATTATAGTTTGAACAAAATTTCTATTGTAGTATTTGTATAATTTGCTTTAAAGTGCTAAAAATTGGAATTTTCCTATATAACCCTATAGTAAATGTACCTGTATTTTGAGACGGTCCCTCAAAAATACCAGGACGGTAGATTTTCCCCAAACTTGGCATGTACACTGAAGTTAATGTAAGTTATATATGGTATAAAAATAAATAGTTTCGCTATTGTAGTTTTCACACAATAAAACTATAGTCGGCCCCCTTAAATCAATTAAGAACATAGTTATGATAACCAAGAGTGCTTCTTCAAAGATTGTGAATTTCATGGCCCTTGGGTCAGGTGTTCTGTTAGGGCAGGGCTATATAGATCATATAGTGAAAGAGCATTCTTTCTTCAAAAATCTTCTTCTCTGCTCCTGGGAATTAAATAAACTAACTAAGAACATAGTTATGATGACCAAGAGTGTCTCTTTAATAATTGTGAATTTCATGGCCCCTGGTATCAACATATATCAGATGAAAAAAAAATCTTAAAGAATCTATGTGACTATTCCCTGATTTTGACCTCTTTTGCTTTGTCTTCTGTAGCCTCCAAAGTGAGAAGGTATACTACCTACAGAAGAACCCCAATCAGCTCCTGGACATGCTGGGGAAGCTGTTTGTATTTTCTTTCATCTGGAGTATTGGAGGTATGTTCAAGCTCCAGGAGGATGCTGATGATTACGACATGATCAGGCGGGGCCAGGACAAGGGGGAGAGGGATGCCAATATCTGTAACGAGTGTGATAACTTCATGCATGAGTTATTTGAAGTGGAACCACCACTTGGTAAGGAATATATTTCATTTCAAAAATGAATATGTGTTTCAGGGCTCTCTCTTTTTTTTTTATAATTAAAAGAAGTCAAAGATGTTGAAATCCTATATTTTCTTATAACAGGTATAAGATTGCCAACAGGAAACAAGGTTATTTATGCCTACTTCATTGATATGGAGTCTGGTAACTTTGTATCGTGGGATGTCCTGGTGCCAAACACCAAGTCTCTGATAGAGAAAGGAGCTGTCATAACTATAGGGGAGACAATGGGGGTTTCTGGGGGGCACAAGAAGAAAAGAGAGGAGGCTGAGATTACCCCCACTGTGGACCACATTCAATTCTCCTTCCTGTCTGGACTTCTGCTGCTGCACAAACATCCTGTGCTGCTTACAGGTGATTGCACTTATAGAATTAAGTTTTATTTAATCTCTTTTAGAATGAAAGTCATAAGATTAGGTACAGTAATATGTCTTTATCAAAGTCTTACAACAGCTTTCAGTTTAAGTCTTTGTAAAACAGATTCTTACACTGTTTTAAACAAGACATAGAAATTTTTCTGAGTATTTTTTTTTTCAGTCCAAAGCATAAAATATACAGATGTATTTTTAGCTCACCTTAACAAAGTTGGGGGAGCTTATGTAATACCCTCAGTGTCGGCGTCCCAGGTTAGGCCATAATAAAAATATTCCTAGATTCTCATCCCCGCCCACCCCGATTTTATACCCCCGCCTCGATTTTTTTAATTTCTGTTTTTCTTCGTCTTAATTCTGATCGGGATCGGTATTCATCTACCATTCTACTTTCGTTTTAAATCCTGCGAAAGTCGACATGATTTTGACAGTTGGAAAGATGGTAATTCTTGTAATAAATGCGTATATATTTTAAACCAGGGTCATTGGTTGAAAAAGATTGGTGATGATGTGAAGTACGAAGAGGTAATTGAACCTTTCCTATGACTTTTATTCAGGTATTGTAGATAAAATTACAACGATTGACCAAGTCAATAAAAAATCTGCAAAGTTGAAAAAATTAAAATTATGAAATAAAAGCAGCCCGCCCGCCTCAATTTTTAAAAAAATTCGGATGAGAATCTAGCAATTTATTTATTATGGCCTTAAGGTTAAGTTTTTTTGAGCAGTTTTCTTTTTAAGTAATTCTATGTCCTATATTGATTAGACATGCATGGAAGATGCTTCTAGTGTGTTTCATTGCACCAGTCAAAGTTTCAGATGCTGCAATTTCAGCAAAGGAATGACCAGGTTAATGTTTTTGGAGCAGGTTAACATTTTTGGTGCAGTTTTTGGTGTAGGTCTCATTTCCAAGGAACTATAAGTCCTATGTTGACCAAACTTGCATGGACGATACATCTAAGGATGCACACTACTGGTGTAGCATAATATATTGATACTGCGATATTTTGAACCCGGGTTCAATGTATCGCATTATATTTTGAACCCGGGTTCACTTTTTCGCTGCGATATATTGAACCCCCTTATTATATATTGAACCCCTACCTTTTTCATTGAAGAGGGATGGGGTTCAAAATATCATGGCCATAAAATATTGAGTCCCCCTGCCCATTTAATGTAAGAGGGAGGGGGTTCAAAATATTATGGCCATAAAATAATGAGTCCCCCTGCCCTATTAATTCATCAAGGAGGGGGTTCAAAATATTATGGCCATAATATATTGAGCCCCCCTGCCCTTTTAAGTTAAGAGGGAGGGGGGTTCAAAATATTATGGCCATAATATATTGAGTCCCCCTGCTCTTTTAAGTTAAGAGGGAGGGGTTCAAAATATTATGGCCATAAAATATTGAGTCCCCCTGCCCTATTAATTTATTAAGGAGGGGGTTCAAAATATTATGGTCATAATATATTCAGTTCTGTTCACTCCCTGATGTCCAGCAGTAGCAGTGGTATGACATGCTTTAAGCACTCTCAAAACACTGTATTGCATATTATATAGAAACCACAAAGGGGAAGCAACAAGACAGTGGGGATTGTTGACCTATGACACCTCCCTGTGTACACACAATACACAGGTACTATACCGATGTTACCTCCTCAATAGAGAGATACCTTTCTTATTCAGTAGCATATTGCTCATTAAATTTTCCTTTAATATCAAATTGTAAATTACATGTATATACAATTTAAACTAAAATGAATAGATACCTTATGGGATTCAATGAAAGACACAGAAATAAATGTATCTGTATTTTCTATCCGACATGATACATGTGTATATTTATAGATATTTGATGTAGAATATTGTGGGTATAAAAGTAAAAAAAACATTTTTTTTTTATTTCCTTGGTAACATTTGTACACTTCAATATTATGAAAATATTATCCTACCCTCAATTCTTTAAGAATTTCACGAATGTGAAAAAAAAAAGTTTTATTATAAAGATACCCTACTCTCAAGTAGTGGAAATGTATAACTGGGAGAAGGATTTTAGATTATTTGCAGGCATATTTTATCATCACTCCCTTTTCAGAGCAATTCAATAGGGTGACTGAATAATTTATAACCATCATATTTTGAACCCCTGTTCCTGTAAAATTAAATGGACAGGGGGCTCGATATTTTATGGTCATAACATTTTGAACCCCCCTCTCTCTTAAATTAAAAAAGGCGAGGGGACTCAATATTTTATGGCCATAATATTTTGAACCCCCTCCCTCTTAACGTAAAAGGATATGGGGGTTCAATATATTATGGCCATAATATTTTGAACCCCCTCCTTGATGAATTAATAGGGCAGGGGACTCAATATTTTATGGCCATAATATTTTGAACCCCCTCCCTCTTAACTTAAAAGGACAGGGGGACTCAATATTTTATGGCCATAATATTTTGAACCCCCTCCATGTAAACTTAAAAGGGCAGGGGGACTCAATATTTTATGGCCATAATATTTTGAACCCCCTCTCTCTTAATTTAAAAGGATAGGGGGACTCAATATTTGCTTTGGATGCTGAATCTGACCTACATTTTCCGGTTGAGTGAACAGGTTAAAGTTTTTGGTGCAGGTTTCATTTCCAAGTAACTATAAGCCCTATGTTGACCAAACTTACATGGATGATACATCTAAGGATGCATACTAACAGGCTTGCTTCGGATGCTGAATCTGACCTACATTTTCTGGTGAACAGGTTAAAGTATTTGGTGCAGGTTTCATTTCCAAGTAACTATAAGCCCTGTGTTGGCCAAACTTGCATGGACGATACATCTAAGGATGCATACTAACAGGCTTGCTTCGGATGCTGAATCTGACCTACATTTTCTGGTGAACAGGTTAAAGTATTTGGTGCAGGTTTCATTTCCAATTAACTATGAGCCCTATAATGACCGAACTTGCATGGATGATACATCTAAGGATGCACACTACCGGGGTTTGCTTCGGATGCTGAATCTGACCTACATTTTCTGATTGAGTGAACAGGTTAAAGTTTTTGGTGCAGGTTTCATTTCCAAGTAACTATAAGCCCTATGTTGACAAAACTTGCATGGATGATACATCTAAGGATGCATACTACCAAGCTTGCTTCGGATGCTGAATTTGACCTACATTTTCTGGTTGAGTGAACAGGTTAAAGTTTTTGGTGAAGGTTTCATTTCCAAGTAAGTATAAGACCTATGTTGACCAAGCTTGCATGGATGATACATCTAAGGATGCATACTACCAGGCTTGCTTCGGATGCTGAATCTGACCTACATTTTCCGGTTCAGTGAACAGGTTAAAGTTTTTGGTGCAGGTTTCATTTCCAATTAACTATGAGCCCTATAATGAGCAAACTTGCATGGATTATACATCTTAGGATGCACACTAATGGACTTGCTTCAGATGCTGAATTCGACATACATTTTTCAGATAATGGACCAGGTAAAAGTTAATGGTGCAGGTCTATTACCAAAAAACTATAATGCTTATACATGTATAACATTGTATAAACCAAACTTGCACAAATGATGCATCAAGGGATGAAAACTCAAATTTGCGTCCGATGCTGGATTTTAATGACATTTTCATGAAGAAGAACTAGTTTAAATTTTTTATATAGGTTTATTTCAAAGTATCAGATTAAAATTGCTTAAATATTTTCATTTTTAGAATGTACACTTTTTCGTTGGTTAATTGTGTGACTTAGCCTTACTTAAAGACAACATTCGTTGAGGTGAGCTCTGTAATCTCTGATTACCTATGTTTATGTTTATTTTTAGCTCACCTCAACGAAGTTGGGGGAGCTTATGTAATACCCTCGGCGTCCCCGTCGGCGTCGGTGTCGGCGTCCCAGGCTAAGTTTTTTGGAGCAGTTTTCTTTTTAAGTACTTCTATGTCCTATATTGATTAGACATGCATGAAAGACGGTTCTATTGTGTTTCATTGAACCAGTCAAAGTTTCAGATGCTGAAATTTCAGCAAAGGAATGACCAGGTTAATGTTTTTGGGGCAGGTTAACATTTTTGGTGCAGTTTTTGGTGTAGGTTTCATTTCCAAGTAACTATAAGCCCTATGTTGACCAAACTTGCATGGATGATACATCTAAGGATGCATACTACCGGGCTTGCTTCGGATGCTGAATCTGACCTACATTTTCCGGTTGAGTGAACAGGTTAAAGTTTTTGGTGCAGGTTTCATTTCCAAGTAACTATGAGTTCTTTAATTACCAAACTTGCATGGATGATACATCTAAGGATGCATAATACCTGGCTTGCTTCGGATGCTGAATCTGACCTACATTTTCTGTTTGAGTGAACAGGTTAAAGTTTTTGGTGCAGGTTTCATTTCCAAGTAACTATGAGTTCTTTAATTACCAAACTTGCATGGATGATACATCTAAGGATGCATAATACCTGGCTTGCTTCGGATGCTGAATCTGACCTACATTTTCTGGTTGAGTGAACAGGTTAAAGTTTTTGGTGCAGGTTTCATTTCCAAGTAACTATGAGTTCTTTAATTACCAAACTTGCATGGATGATACATCTAAGGATGCATACTACCAGGCTTGCTTGGGATGCTGAATCTGACCTACTTTTTGTGGATGAGTGAAATTTAATGTTAGTTTTTGATGCATGTTTCATTTCCAATAAACTATGAGCCCTATAATGAGCAAACTTGCATGGACGATACATCTTAGGATGCACACTAATGGACTTGCTTCGGATTCTGAATTCGACATACATTTTTCAGATAATAGACCAGGAAAAAGTTACGGGTGCAGGTCTATTACCAAAAAAACTATAAGGCTTATTTAACATTGTATAAACCAAACTTGCACAAAAGTTGCATCAAGAGATGAAAACTCTCAAATTTGCTTCAGATGCTGGATTTTAATTACATTTTCATGAAGAAGAACTAGTTTAAATTTTTTATGTAGGTCTATTTCAAAGTAATTCAGATGAAAATTGCTTAAATATTTTCATTTTTGGAATGTACACTTTTTGTTGGTTAATTGTGTGACTTTGCCTTACTTAAAGACAACATTCGTTGAGGTGAGCTCTGTAATCTCTGATTACCTATGTTAATTGTTTTCTGTAAAACTGTTCATTTCCACTATTTAGGAGAATCTGGAGTTGGCAAGTCGTCCATTATTAACCACATGTTAGGCAGACTGGGACAAGATGGTGCAACATCCACTAAGAGTGGCACTGTGCTGGGTCAGATCCTCAGCTACTCAGACAAGACCAACACGCTACTGGAGAGTATCTCGAAACTCACAGAAATGGACAACAATGACGAGTCCAAATGTATCAATGTCCTTCTGGGAACGGCCAAACCTAAAAGTTCTGCTGGTGTGATCATTTTTGTGTTTCAGTTCTCAGCTCAGATGACAGCAGCTAGACTTAAGGCTCACATCATGCATAAACTCATCAAGAAGGGCAAGGACACTCTGGGGGCTCCCCGGGGGAAAAAGGTGCTGGTGTTTGTGGATGATTTGAACATGCCGGCCCCTGAAGTATATGGAGCCCAGCCACCCCTAGAGTTACTGAGGCAGTTCTTGGAACTTGGTGGATTTTATCATGCTGGGAAAGCTCATCTTGTATGGGAGGTATGAAAATAAATACATGTATCCTTATGTGTGTAAATCTATTGTAGAACAATGAAATGTAGATCCAAAGTTGCAGAAGTGACTTTGAGTGTTTCTTAGTTTGTAAATTGGGCTTATTTAACTTGTGAAATACATAGTCTAGTTTTACTGAACACTGGGAATATATGAATTTTAGGATATTTATGACGTCCATGTGGTGGCAGCCTGTGGACCACCAGGTGGAGGCAGGAACCCCATCCATCCAAGGCTCCTAAAACACTTCAGGTCAGGCATCTTTCTAACTCTAAATGTATAATATCTAAATCCCCTCTAATCCATCTCTCAGTTTAGAATTGGTGTTGAATATGGAATATAAATTGTTCGTACAATATTCATATATGGTGTAGTGCATGTTACAGAAATATTTGTTTTTATTAGCTCACCTGAGCCGAAGGCTCAAGTGAGCTTTTCTGATCAAAATTTTTCCGTTGTCTGTCATCGTCGTTGTTGCAGTAATTGTTGTAAACTTTTCACATTTTCATCTTCTTCTCAAGAACCACTGGACCAATTTCAACCAAACTTGCTACAAAGTATCCTTGGGTGATGGGGATTCAAATTTGTTCAGCTGAATGGCCACACCCTCTTCGAAGGGGAGATAATTATGAATTAGGAAAAATTAATGGCATTTTTAAAAAATCTTCTTCTCAAGAACTACTGGGCCAGAAAGCTTGAAACTCATGTTAAATCATCCTCAGGTAGTGTAGATTTAAGTTTCTTCAAATCATGACCCTCGGGGGTAGGGTGGGGCCACAATGGGTGATCAAAGTTTTACATAGGAATATATAGGAAAAATCTTTAAAAATCTTTTTCAAGAACCATTGGGACAGGAAAAATGAAACTCATGTTGAATCATCCTCAGGTAGTGTACATTCAAGTTTGTTCAAATCATGACCCCCCGGGTAGGGTGGGGCCACAATGGCCAATCAAAGTTTTACATAGGAATATACCGGGTAAAGGTAAAATTTTAAAATTTTCCTCTCAAGATCCATAGGGACAGGAAAGATGAAACTTAAGTTGAATCATCCTTAGGTAGTGTACATTCAAATTTCTTCAAATCATGACCCCTGGGGGTTGGGGTGGGCCACAGTGGCTGATTAAAGTTTTACATAGGAATATAAAGGGAAATCTCTAAAACTTTTCTCAAGTACTGCAAAGCCATTATTAGTGATATTTTTGTGGGGACATCCTCAGGTAGTGTAGATTCTAGTTTGTTCAAATCATAACCCCCTGGGAATAGGGTGGGGCCACAATGGGGGATCCAAGTTTTACATTAAAATATATTCTAAAAATCTTCTTAAGAATAGCAAAGCCATGATTAGTGATATTTATATGGAAGCATCCTCAGGTAGTGTAGAATTAAATTTGTTCAAATTATACATTTAACCCCCAAGGGCAGGGAAAGGTCTCAATGTGGATCAGAGTTTTACATAGGAAAATAAAGGGAAAATCACAATAACAGAAAAGCTATGTTTAGTCATATTGACATGTAAGCATCCTAATGTATTGAAGATTTAAATTTGTTCAAATCATGAGTACCCTTTGGGGTAGGAAGGGAAACAATGGGGAGTCAAATTATTACAAAGTAATATATACAAACAAAATAAAAAAAAATATTTTTCTCAAGAACTTTATCAAGAAGTTATATGCAGTATTGAAATTGATATGGAGGCATTCTCAAGTAGTATTAGAATTCAATCCCCCCACTCCTCAGTAAACTTCAATTCTGATCTGATTTGTGCTTTTTCCTAGCCAATGTGCTCAGGTGAGTGATATGGCCCCTGGGCCTCTTGTTTTTAGCTCACCTGAGCCGAAGGCTCAAGTGAGCTTTTCTGATCACATTTTGTCCGGCGTCCGTCCATACTTGCCAACTCTGTCTGTCAAACTTTTCAACCCGTAACCCGATTATTTTCGGGTACTATCTTCCAACAACCCGAAAATCTCCCGATTTTCGGGATTTGGTTTGTAAATTAGGTTGCACTTTTAACTTCCAGTTACAACCCAAACTTGCTACGTAAACAATGCCGATGGATTAATTATCTGTGCAGGTGTAAACAATTAACTGGGTGTTGTTTTGACAAATCAATGTTTGAAGTCAATTAAAATGGCTTCCGATAGAACTAGATCGTTATCAGGGCCAACAGGAACAAATTGAACCAAACACATGTATCTGATTGAACCAAGAAAAAGAGAAACGATATTTATGTACATATCAAGGAATCTTGGAAAAAATAAACTTTCATTTTAGATAAAATAAAGTGATCAAAGACAGTGTAGGCCTAACTTCAAATTTAAAACATGTTGCGGTAGTTAATTAATTAAGAGAGAGGAAAAATAACTTCAAAACTGAAATTGGTTTACCATGTTTACTTTCAAATTTAGCAGGAACTGAAAAGGTTTTTTTTTTTTAAAAAAATGCACATTTACTTCAGGTCAATACTGAAATATGAAACCTTCAATTTTCATTTTTAACATGTAGGGAATTAAAGCAAATTATGTATAAATTTTTTGTCATAGTAAATTAAATCCTTTTTCAATAAAAGAATTCTCAATATACACAAATACTAAATTGTATATATGTATAAAATTTAATCGTGGTATATATGTCGTGAATGTTGTTACGCGTTATGACCAGATTTTTTACTTTCCAAATCTGGTCATGACCAAACTTTTGCTGGAGGTTAGAAATATATAGGAAAATTCTTTAAATTTTCTCTTCTTCTCAAGAATTTCAACCAAACTTGCCACAAAGTATCCTTGGGTGAAGGGGATTCAGTTTGTTCATGAAGGGCCATCATTATATGAATAAATGAAAATTTGGTGGCATATTTTAAAAATCTTCTTCTCAAGAACCACTTGGCCAGGAAAGATGAAACTTATGGGGAAACATCCTCAGGTAGTGTAGATTCAAATTTGTTCAAATCATGACCCGCGGGGTAGGGCGGGGCCAAAATGGCCGACCAAAATTTTACATAGAAGTATATAGGAAAATTCTTTAAAAATCTTCTTCTGAAGAATGACAAAGCCATAATTCATCACATTTATATGGAAGCATGCTCAGGTAGTGTAGATTCAAGTTTTTTCAAATCATGACCCCCCGGGGTAGGGCGGGGCCAAAATGGCCAACCAAAGTTTTACATAGAAATATATAGGAAAATTCTTTAAAAATCTTCTTCTGAAGAATGACAAAGCCATAATTCATCACATTTATATGGAAGCATGTTCAGGTAGTGTAGATTCAAGTTTGTTCAAATCATGACCCCCCGGGGTAGGGCGGGGCCAAAATGGCCGACCAAAGTTTTACATAGAAATATATATGAAAATTCTTTAAAAATCTTCTTCTCAAGAATGACAAAGCCATAATTCATCATATTTATATGGAAGCATGTTCAGGTAGTGTAGATTCAAGTTTGTTCAAATCATGACCCCCCGGGGTAGGGCGGGGCCAAAATGGCCGACCAAAGTTTTACATAGAAATATATAGGAAAATTCTTTAAGAATCTTATCAAGAATGACAAAGCCATAATTCATCATATTTATATGGAAGCATGTTCAGGTAGTGTAGATTCAAGTTTGTACAAATCAGAGTGGGGCCAAAATGGCCGACCAAAGTTTTACATAGAAATATATAGGAAAATTCCTTAAACATCTTCTTCTCAAGAATGACAAAGCCATAATTTATCATATTTATATGGAAGCATGCTCAGGTAGTGTAAATTAAAGTTTGTTCAAATCATGACCCCCGGGGGTAGGGCAGGGCCAAAATGGCCGACCAAAGTTTTACATAGAAATATATAGGAAAATTCTTTGAACATCTTCTTCTCAAGAATGACAAAGCCATGATTTATCATATTTATATGGAAGCATGCTCAGGTAGTGAAGATTCAAGTTTGTTCAAATCATGACCCCCGGGGGTAGGGCGGGGCCAAAATGGCCGACCAAAATTTTACATAGAAATATTTATGAAATTCTTTAAAAATTTTCTTCTCAAGAATGACAAAGCCATAATTCATCATATTTATATGGAAGCATGCTCAAGTAGTGTAGATTCAAATTTGTTCAAATCATGACCCCCAGGGTTAGGGCAGGGCCAAAATGGCCGACTAAAGTTTTTAAAGATATATATAGGAAAATTCTTTAAAAATCATTTTTTAAAAAATAGCAAATCCATGATTGGTCATCGGACTACTTTTGGATTTAAACTTTACAATAAAAAGCCATTTTCTACTTTTTCCTACCCTTAGTGCTCAGGTGAGCGATGTGGCCCATGGGCCTCTTGTTTAATTTATTCATATTATATGTGAACTTTAATAATGCTGAACTCAGACTGTGTGAGTTTCGATAAACAATTTTCAGCATTCATTTGAAAAAAAAATGTACAATTAATCTTTGAAAAAAAAAATGTTCATCCTCATATTGTTTATATTCTTTTCCAAAATTTAGAACACTTAATTAATTAATTTCGCTTTATTGTATAAATATGCATGCAGGCATTTTTCTTAAAGTGTCAAATTACTGGAAAACATTCAATGGCGAGAGTTTGCAGTTACGTGTAGTTGGCACGTGGACTTAAATTTTTTTATGCGAGATATCAAGAAAAAAATCTTTTCTTTTTTTTCTCATTGTTTATTTTCTTTTCCCAAATTTAGAACACTTTTCTTTGATTTATTTTGCTTTATTATATAATTGTGCAGGCATTTTTCTCAAAGTGTCAAATTACGGGAAAGCATTCGATGGCGAGAGTTCACTTTGCAGTTACATGTGAACTCTTTACAAGATATCAAGAAAAAATATCGCTTCTTCACCTTCATATTTACATGTTTTTCTTTTGTAAACAATATGTCTTTCTTTTTAATTTTAATATTTCTCCATTTTCATGTGCAATAAAATAAGATAGGATGTGCAGGTAAGGTGATAAACTTCATGGAACAAATTAAATTAAAGAAGGGGGGTGTATAACACTTAAAATTTTAACAATATTCAATGAATGAAAAAATCAAATACTTTTGATTTCTTTGACAAATTCGGTTTCTTTGTGTGTTAAGTATTAACCGCAATCATTTTCTGTGT